CACAGTTCTCTCAATATTCTTTCATTTTTAGAGATCCTTTTTTCTCTCTGTGCCTCAGCTTCTTTGTATTCCTCTTCTCTAGTTTCTATTTCATTTATTGTCTCCTCCACCGTATCCAAGCTGCTTTTAATACCCTCCATCGTGTTCTTTAACGATTGGATCTCTGACCTGAATTCATTCCTGAGTTCTTGGATGTCTTTCCGTACCTCCATTAGGATGTTGATTATTTTTATTTTGAACTCCCTTTCAGGAAGAGTCACTAGGTCCATATCATTTAAATCTTTCTCGGGAGTTGTATTAACAATTTTACTCTGGACAAGGTTCCTTTGGCGGTTCATGTTTGTATATGGTGCCCTCTAGTGTCCAGAAGCTCTAATCTGGAGCTGAAGAGCCCCTGAAGCAATGTCAGGGGTCGCAGGGGAGCGGTACTGGGGGTAGTAGGAAAGAGCTGTTCCCCGCCTCCTGCCTCCTGTGCCTGTCTCCACTGCCTGAGCCAGTGGGCCAGGCACACAGGTATAAGTTTTTATCCCAGAGCAGCCAGATATGGATCCCTGCTTTCCACAAGCAGCCAGAATCCCAGTCTCCCCTGTATTAACTTTCCAACCCGGTAGTCATGCTAGTCTCATGAAAGCACCATGAAATGTACGTTTGTACTCCCAGCGCAGATCTCCGGAGCTAGGTATTCAGCAGTCCCAAGCCTTCCACTCCCTCCCTGCTCCATTTGTCTTCCTCCCACTGGTGAGCTGGGGTGGGGAAGGGGCTCAGGTCCCACGGAGCCACAGCTCTGGTACATTACCCCATTCGCTGAGGTCTGCTCTTTTCTCCAGGTGTGTGCAGTCTGATTCAGTCCTCTTACCTGTTGCTCTCCCAGGATTAGTTGCGCCAATTAAATTTTCTAATTGTATCCAGTTTTGGGAGGAAGCCTCTGTCTCTCCTCTCACGCCACCATCTTTAATCCAATTCCAATTCACTATTTTTTTAAAAAGAGTTTTCAGATAAATGGGTTGTTGTAAAAGTCTTGTGATTTAATTTGTAGACTAAAAGCTTTTTCTGTTTGTTTTTAGGGTCTGTGTGGTTCTTGTTGGGCTTTTAGTGCAACTGGTGCCCTTGAAGGACAGATGTTCCGGAAAACTAGCAAACTTGTTCCATTGAGTGAGCAGAACCTGGTGGACTGCTCCAGACCTCAAGGCAATAAAGGCTGCAATGGTGGCCTAATGGATAATGCTTTCCAGTATGTCTTTGACAACAGAGGTTTGGACTCAGAGCAATCCTATCCCTATCATGGAATGGTAAACTGAGGTCTTTATCTGTTATCAAAGTTGAATACTTTCAGAAAAAATAGCTACCATATTTTAAAGTCACATTTTAGATTGAAGGTTCTATAGCTGCTGTCAGAACTATTGTTAAAATTTGTTTGTCTTGTACCATTCTCTGTTTATATGGTTACTGTGTAGCTGTCCATATTTATGTGTTATGTAGAGATATACCTAGCTGTCTATATACTGTATCAAATTTCTCCAGAGTGAAAAATTTCTTATGGATAGGTAGGCAACAAGTGTCTGGTTGAATAGACACCAGGCAATTTTTTCATTTTAATACAAACAATAGCATATCACCTCTTGGGATGCTTCATTAGAAACTTGATTTGGAAATTATTAACCTTCAGACTGTCTTGCCTTATGTTCCCTGGAAGTTGGGTATTAATAATCAAATTTCGTCCTCTTTATCTTGAAAGGATGAACCCTTCAAATACAGACCTGAGTATTCTGCTGCCAATGACACTGGCTTCTATGACGTCCCTGCACAGGAGAAGGTCCTTAAGGTCACAGTGGCAAAAGTGGGGCCTGTTTCTGTTGGTATAGACTCCAGGTGGGAAACATTTCAGTTCTATAAAGAAGGTAAGCATGAGTCTATGTAGAAATTTAGGCAGAAAAGTAGGAAAACCACCATGACATACAGCAAAATTGACTCTTTGGTGTGTGGAATTCAAGGTAGAATTTTTGAGAGTGTGGATTCGTCATAGTTGTTCACTCTGTGCAGGTAATATGTGTGACTGATGTTTTCTTTGCCATAACTTGGACCATATCCCTGTGATTTTAAGCAGTTCAAAAATATATTTAAATGGCTATGTAAGTCAATAGCTGAATTTGCTTTTCCCCCAATTGTTAGAACTTCAGAATATTCTGAGGAATTTTACCACTGTAATTAAAACTGGAAAGAACCCTTTGGCTCAGGTAATACTGTGTTCTGTGCAGAATCATTAGGCTGATATCCTGGAAATAGAATGGCACCATTTCATGAGTGGTCTTTTATGCCTCTTGACAAGTTGTTTACAAAAGAAATCATGGTGATTCTATTTCTGCTACCATTACATGAGGACCTTAATCCCTATCCTAGATTTTTATATCTTATTTTTAAATCTTACCTGGATTTATGTCATTTAATGGAATTTGGAGATGGCTTCCTTACTGTGGTTGATAGGCTGGGTTATAGCCACGTGTCACTTGGAGGTCCTGCTCACAGCACTAAATTTTACTTCCAGGCATTTATTATGATCCACGCTGCAGCAGCAAAGACCTGGGTCATGCTGTTCTCTTGGTTGGCTATGGCTTTGACGGAGCAGAATCAGATGATTATAAATATGGATTGTCAAGAACAGGTATTAAATGCCAAAAATTGAATTTGAAATTGAAAAGGAAACATGTTTTGGAATCAGTGTTAGATACTCTCTGAAATCCCAAAAGTCTTTATCCCCCTTAGGGTGGACACAGACGTAGTAATGTTTGATTATAACATTGGGTTACTGTTAGAAGCTTGCTAGGGTATTTAAAACAGTTTTCATACCTTTGCATTTTCTTAATTTAAGGAGTTTCATAATTCTGAAGCACATCTGGCCCCAAGAGTTTCCTTTTCCAGTCTCTCCTTTTGCAGTTCTATAAAAGATTTGGTGGATAGAACTTATGTGCCGGTTTATATCTCAACCATGAACAGGAACTGAGTCTTTCTGAATCTGTCTTGGCCCCTGGTGAACTGCTAAGCCTCAGGCATGACTGATAATAAAGATAAGTTATCTGATTCTTTGTAATAAGTGGGAGTCCCTCTCCTCTTTGAGCTGGGGTCCAAGCTGGGGCATGGATGGCTACATAAAGATGGCCAGGGATCGGAACAACCACTGTGGAATCACATCCATGGCCAGCTATCCTATTATGTGAGATGATGGTGATAATGAAGGACTTGATTGAGAACAGAATATCCCTGGGAGAATTTTTTTTCTTAAAACTGACCAAACCTTACTGTGTGGAATAAAACACTTAAATCATTGAAGATCCAAGTTGTGACTTGAATTCCATGACATTTTACCTTGGTAAAATCATAACATTTCTCCAACTACTATTGTAAGTAGCTTTGTATGATTAACTTACCTAGTAACTCTTAAATGTTCAGGTTTTAAAAGGATGCAGAAGTCTTTACCTTTTAAAATAAAACAATATCAAAGTAGAGATGGTGTTTGTGTTTTTAATACATTAGTATTTTGTACAGTCAAAACTAATTGAGTCTAAACCCATAAGTGAACGTGCCAGTGATCCATTAGGAGAATGGCTGGGTCTCCTACACTTCTGGGTATTATGTGCAGATATCATGTTGGCTGCCCATTGGCAGAGTCTGAACACCCCTTGACTGGAGCACATTATGAGAGACAATGAATAAAGACAAAGCTAAATGATTTTCATGAGGAAAAAATTCACAATTTAGAAAGTGCACAGATGTGTTAGGAAGGAAGGAACTTGGTGCAATGTCACAGGGGAGTCAGATATAGTGAGACAAGAAAGCAAAGTCAGTTTTAATGAACTCTGTATAGGGTAGCAGAGAGGGCCTGCCTAAGGTGAGACAGGCCCAGCGGCTCATTCTGAGGCTCATTTTATGTCATTTTGGCAGGGCAGAGAAGTCCCTGATTGGCATCTCTTAACTCTCTAGGCTTGTTCTGATTGGTGAAATGAGGGCAGGGGCTGTGCTGTGCCTGTGCCTCTGATGTTTCTTATCTGGGGAGAACCTGGCCATTTCCTAAGTCACTCTTGGACCCTGAGGCTTCATCTGATTAGCTCTAGGTGATCAACTCCCTGAATCATTTTGGGGGGGGCCCTCTCTCCTTTTGATACGGCTCATTTCTGTGTTTCTGCCTGACATCCCCCCCTCAATCAGTTGGGACCCAAATTATTGGGATGGGGCAATGACTGCTATGCTACTTCCTGCTGGTGAGGGGTGGGTTGGGCCTTTTAAGTCCCTCTGGTTGCAGACTGTCAGGATGGTAGAGATTAGGGCAATAAGGGTGCCCATCTAGGGGTCGCAGGAAGCTGATTCATCAGTTGATAAGGGTTTGAATCCTCATGACAACAGGACTTTGGCCTTGATGGACTTTAGTCTGGGAGAAACAAATTTAATTAAGGGATTTAATAAGCATGGTCCAAACAGTAGTGCCAGAAGAAACATCAGCAGGGGTCCTGCTCAGGGAAACAACCAGGATGCCGAGCTCCAAATTTGGGACAAGTTGCCCCAGGATTCTGATAGTTGTTGTTGGATTCTGGAGGCACAGTCAGAAAGCTTTCAGACAGTGTCTCTAACTAGGCCAGATTGGTTAGCATAAAAACAACATTCTTCATCTGGAAAGAAACATAGGCCTTGCTTTTCAGCAGTTAAGAAGTTTAATCCTCTTCTATTTTAAAGAGTGACTGCTGCTAATAAGCCTACCTGATTTTGAATAGTCATAATATTCTGGGCAGTTTCTTTCAGGCTGTCAGAAAAATCTTTGGACAGACTTTGGTAATGTGACAGTAAGAAAGTTAGCACAGCTATGCCAGTGCTTAGTCCTGTGGTGATTCCTAAGCCTATTAAAAGAGGAATGAACTGTATAGCTCTTTTAGCTCTTATGTGAGAAGACTGAGGAATGATCAGTGAATTGGTTATTAGGGACTATGTCATTGCTGATTTTTCTTTGAACAAACCTACTAGATCAATTAACAATAAGAAAAAAACATTTTATTTTACTTTTCCCTTTCCTTACACCTTCCCTTTCTTTATGTGGATCCAAAATTCAGGCCTGTACCATGTTCCTTCTCAGTGTTTTCTGCGTTTACTGGACCTGTGGTTTGGTGTATGTTGTTAGTTTTAGAAAATTCTCAGCCATCACTACCTCAAATATTTCCTCTGCTCCTTCTGTCTCCTCCTTCCCTTGTTGCCATCACGTGTATGTCACACCTTTTGTAATTGTCCTTCAGTTCTTGGATATTCATTCCCTTGTCCAAAATCCTTTTTTTACTTAGAATTTCAGTTTTGGAAAGTTATTGTTACAGCTCAATGCCACTGCTTCTTTATTGGTTGCGTCCAGCATATTGAAACAGGAATTTGTCCTTTCTGCGATGGTGCTTTTAATTTCTTGATTTCCTCTGGTTCTTTACAGTTTCAAATTTTCTACCTGGGGCACTTACCTGTTCTTCCAGGTTGTCTGCTTCTTCCATTAGGGTCCTTAAAATATTTATCAGACCTTATAAATAGTCCTGTGCGATAATTCCACAATCTGTGTCATAGCTGAGTCTGGCTCTTATGTTTGCTTTGTCTCCTCAGGCTGTTGGCCTTGCCTTTTCGGGCACACTATGATTATTCGTTGAAATCTGGTAATGTATCAGTTAATAGGAACTAGGGTAAATAGGCCTTTACTGTGAAGTTTGAAGCCAGTCAGGCCAGTAGGTAGGCTGTGTTTAGTATTTCTGTAGATGAATGTGACAGAGGATTCAGTTCCTTCTGGTTTCCTTGTTTGCTTCCTCTGTTGTGTGTGTGTGTGTGTGTGTGTGTGTGTGTGTGTGTGTGAGCTTAAATAGGGTCTGTGTCTTGCAGGTCTCTTGATTTTAATCCACTGTCATTATTGATTACATCTCAGGTTTTAGAGGGCCTGGGTTCCTGGGCTGTGACCTTAAGAAGCATTTTTTGGTCTTTGTTTTTCCACCTGTCTGGACAGGAAAGCTAGTGTGAGCTGGAGTTGGATAATTGTGCTTCCTTAGGTCAATAAAGCTCTGTCATAGTAGTTTTTCCTGGAGGACAGACTTTTGTTACAGTGAACCTCTGAATGCATTTCAAAATGGTAACTTTTGCCGGCCTCCCCCTGCCCCTCCCCACGCCCACCACCTAAAACAGGAGAGGGTTTTGCTCGGATCTTCACTTTGAGGATCTGCAAGTGCTTCTGGAGGTAAGATTCACAGAAGCATGGAGATGCCCACAAAGACTGAGCTTCCAGAATTTTTTATTTTTTATTTTAAAAGCATTTGATATATTAGGAAACGTATTTGTAATTCATATACTGCAGGACTTATTTTAAAGAATGCTAATAATTGCAATGAAAATTAGAGATGAATAGGATATTCACCAAAAAGATGTCTCTAAATGTATTTTAAAAGTTCATTCTTGCCAATTTATTTTATTGTGATAAGAACACTTAACATGAGATATCCTCTGGACAGTTTCAGCTGTGCAATACAGTGTTCTTAACTGTAGACACATGTACAGCAAACCACCAGACTCTATTCATCTTACAAAATTGAAACACCAGTTGATCAGCAACTCATTTTACCCTCTACCCAGAGGCAGTAACTGCTAAGGAACACTCAAATGGTAATTTCTGATGAATTGCTAAAGGCTGACGGTTAGGTTGAGTTTAAAATGTCAGAAGATATTCCTACATGTTCTAACTCTCTAGTCCATATTCAGCCTTCAGCAATTCATCAAAATTACCATTTAAGTGTTCCTGTCAGTTACTGTCTCCAAGGGTTCCTGTTCCTGATTGGTTGATCTTGTCTGTGATTCTCTTATCATCTGCTGTCTCCCCAGATATTGGGCTAATGGTTTGACCTGTGAGATCAATTCTCTGATGGACATGAGAAAAGTTGTTGATTTTCAGCTTCAGCATTTTGTGTTGGAGGATGGGAATGATGCCTTTCTAGCTCTTTACACGTTGGAGCTGAATGTAGAAGTCCTGACATTTTTTAGTCTAATAATTTCTTCGTAATACCTTGAGATGTAATTCACATATATAAAATTCATCCATTCCATTCCTAGTAGCAGTCTATGAAGATTCTAATTTCTCTATATCCTTACCAGCTTTTGTTTTTTTTTCTTTTTGATTAGTCATACTAGTGGCTGTGAAGTATCTCATTGTGGTTTTTATTTGTGTTTCCCTTTTTGCTGATATTAAACATCTTTTCATGTAGGTAGTGGCCATTTGTATATTTAGAGAAACATTTAATCAGATTATTTGCCTATTTTCGATTGGGTTGTCTTTTCATTAAGTTGTAAAAGTTTCTATGTAATTTAGATAAAAGGTCAAGAGGTAAATGATTTACAACTACTTGTGTTTGACGACGGTATTCGGCCGGTGCGCCTCCGCCCAGCGAACGACAGAGCGTCTCCGCGGCAGACGCGCGCCAGACGACGCCCACGGATGGCCGGTGACGCCCACGAGCAATGCGGGGCGACCCTTCCATCCGCACGCAGCCGCCGCGCGTTCCTGCCCGCGTCACGCCGGAGCCGCCCCTCAGAGCCGGGCGGCCGCCTCGGCCCAGCGCAGCCAAAGAAGCCGCACTGGATGGGCCGCGGCCGGAGCCAGCTGCACACGCAGGGCAGACACCGGAGAGCGCGGGCGGCGGGGGCGGCGCAAGCTGGGGGGTTCCCCGTCGCCCCCTGCGCGCCGAGGTGTGTCTTGGGCCGGAGTTGCGGGGAGGGCGCCCGAGTCCCGCGCCCCGCTCGGGGAGCCGACCGGCCTCCGCCCCCAGCGCGGCGGCGCTCCCCAGGGGGTAGTGCGGGGAGAGGGGGAGCCGTTGAGGGGCGGCTGTCTTCCTGTTGTTGGCTTTGGTGCCGCTGGAAGCGGGGCGGAGCCGTTCATCGTCCCTGCACCGCGACTGCTGGAGGTGGTGGGCGTGGCGGGCGGTGGAGGCGGCGCGACTCCGCGCTGGGGCAGGGAGGGCGCCCTCGACGGCGGCAGCGGCGGCGGCGCGGCCTGCTCCGTATGTGGCTCGGGAGAGCGGGCCTCCGGCCCCTCGCGCCGCGGGCTCCGGACAGCAGCGGGCGGGCCCAGCGGCCGCGTCCCGATCCCCGGCGAGACTGCGGTCCGACGCCGCGGCGCGAGTGCTTCCCACGGGCCGTTTCCATTCCGGGCGGTGAGGGAGTG